AAAATGTATCCTTGCTCATTGTCCCATATGATTTATGTACCCTTTCTTGTTTTAATCAAGTAGAATGCATATTCATGTTTGGGTCACTCACGATTACATATCTTTCCTTGGGAGAGTTAAGTTATGTGTAAAGCACAATGAATTGTATTTGAAGAATCGGCTGTGTAGTCGGCTTTATATACGTCATTTTAGCGTCAGGATCGCAGGTGTTACTCTCAGGGCTAAAACTTCAAGTATTATTTCTTCTCGACCGATGAGTCATCGAAAATTAAAGGGCTCGACAACAACGAAGCTCCGAGAGCGTAATTAGTTCGGAAGCTGGTCGTCGATAGTCGTACGTTTCGCGAGAACGGTACGTGCACCGAGAATGAAGAAAGGCGAGGGCAATCGGGACAATCAGGTCGGTGGGGAGGGGGATTTTTGAAAGAGCGCCATGAAAATGCACTAATACGCGCCGGCGTTTGGGGAAATCTGTCCGACTTCCGAAATCGATATTCCGATGCAGGAACACTCGGAAAACGATTTTTCCGGCGCGCATAAAAATTCATGCCGTCGTCGGGACGGTAGCAGCGGCACGTAACGGCGATCGACGGATTCCGCCGAGTGGCGCGTCTCGGCGCACGTACGCGCCGTCGTTCGATCGTTTATTTCCAACTCCTCGGCGCTTCAGCAGCGAATTCGGCCCGAGACAAGCCTCTTTGATGCTCCCCNTTTGATGCCCCCCCCCCCCCCAAATTCTGCCGGCTAAACTCATTTTTCAGCGGCGCTGTTGTCCGTCGTCCGGCTCTTCCGACGGAAGTCGCCGTTCATGCCAGCCGGCTCAACGCCGCTAGGTAGACTTTCGCGAGCAACAGCCGACGGAGAGCGAGGGAACGAGGCAAATGAAGAGGGAAAGAGGAAGAGAACGCGAGTGAGAGAGAGAGAAAGAGACAGAAGAGAAAGAGGCACGGTGAGGAGTTGCACGAAAACCGGGAGGACCGGCGTGTTGTTGGCGAAGAGGAAGAGGAGTCACGACGCGGCTATAAATACGCTGCGCCACCTGCAGCTAACGTTCACCGGCATACAGACCAGACTAAGCTGACTGAGAGAGAGAGAGAGAGAGGAAGAGAGTCGTGTCTCGTTGCCAGACTGCCAGGAAAGCGAGCACGGAGGTGACTCTCTCACGGCCGCGTATCTCAATGCTGTGATACCATACCGAGTCTAGTTCGACACGTGGTCCGTTCGCTCTGCCTCTGCTGCAAACAACCGCCCTGATTGCGATACCGATCAAAAACTCAAGGACAATTCCGGGATACGGGCAGCCCGGTGGTAGTCGAAGATCAAGTTTCTGACGAGCATCCGGTAAATCGCGTGGAAAAGTATTCTAAGGGCGACCGCAGCGGGACGTTGCCGCAGTTGTTTTTAACGAGAACCCTGCTGAGAATGAAGTGTCACGATGCGCTTGATTAGTTTCTCAGTTACGGTGGTCTAACGGATACCACCGCGGGAAGAAGTGCGACGACGAAGACGTTCGCCGGCATGATTAGCGCGCGGAGTCTAAGGGAACGTGCGACATTACGTTTCACCATAATATTATTCTTTCATCCTCTCGCGAGGTTTGCACTGTCTACGTGGACTTATTCCGCTTGAGAGGAGAGCGGGAGCGCGAAACACGCCCGGAAAGGATGTAATCCGGCTGTAAGATAATAGAATCACTCGGGCGTGACAGAACGAGCGCGCAGGGCCGACATTCTAATCGAATGAGCGACGGAGTCTGAAGGACGGCGCGCAGGGTAGCGCAATCAATCAGCGACCGGGCGTGGTGCCAATAACTTTTCGGAAACTTTCTATTAACAAGATTACTCTTCTTACCCCGGGAATTCGGGAGTTTAAATGGCTGCGCTGCCGCCTGCGCGAGCCGGTCCCGCTCAAGCGGCAGAGATTGAAACGCCACCGAGAATCCGTCGAGCCGTCTCTCGGCCGGGGAAAAATATGCGCCGGCGAGCACGTCGCTCGTCAAAATACGACACCGGCAGCCCGGCATTTTCATCGGGCGGCAGGTGAAAAAAACCGCGACGCGAAAAGAGAGACAGAGAGAGAGGAAAGGAGAGAAAGAGAGCCGGCGGGAGAGACACACCTACCTATCGGCCTGCGGAAACGTCGTCCTTTTAAATCCGACACCGTTGAGCGCGTGTTTTAGGCAAACTAATACCTATCGGGTGTATCACAAGTGAAAGGAGCGCACGGCCGGCGAGGACCGGGGAAAAAAGAATATAAAGCATCGTCAGCTAGAGAGGAAAAAAGAGAGGGAGAGAGGGGAGGGGGGAGGTGGTGAGAACGGTCTTTCGCATAGAGGTAGTTTACTACGAGCGTGTTAATTAAACAAAAAGCCACCCCGTATACCAAGCTAATTAGAGAGTGGCTCTCTTACCCGCGCGCGTTCTCCGCTTCAAAAATATTTTCCTCTTGCCACCGTCCGCCCGTGCTTCGGTGCTCTCTTTCTCCTCCATCTCCTCTTCCTGCTCCTCACCATCCTCCTGCCACTTGAGCGTATGGACCTCACAGTTACTCCTATTTTTTTCCCTTCTTTTCATCTTGCTTACTTTACCCCACCCTCCTCTCCGCTCCAGCCCTCTCCTCTCCACGCCGCGCTCCTCCCTGGGATTAGCGGTATTTGAGACTTTACGGACGTCGGTCTCGGTTTTCACTGATGTCGTGCCGGAACGGTAAATCGCACGGTAAACAAATCTGTAGACTAAAAATGCAAAACGAAGAGAGCGCGCCCGGAAAGATAGTGTCGGGAAAAAGTCCGGGAAAAATCTATGTGCAATGAAAAATACGTTACACTGGTAAACGTGGGCACGCGCGAATGGAAAGGAAACAGTTAACAGTATTGTGAGTAAATATAATAAAATTGCACGCGTTACGTCGAGAGAGAGAGAGAGAGAGAGAGAGGAGGGTGAAGGATGGAAGAGTAAAAAAGTTTCGGAAAAAATATTTTAGACACTTATATCGCCACGTGGCTTATTTTCCGCGCCATATCTACGTTTCATTCCAAATTCAACGCACAACGTTCGTACCTCCCTCTCCCTGTCTTGTTTATTATTATTAATGCGAAACCGGAGCCTGAAAATAGGAATGGATTAATCAAACGATTAAGATTGCATTTCCTCGAACCGCCGCGCGCGCGCGCGCGCGGTCCGTGTTTTATTAAAACGCGCCATCGTGAGAGACGACAAGATAAATCGCCAAAAAGTCGTCCGAGCGATTAATCAACGAAAATTTCCGTTACCATGCCAGTTTCATGACTCAGAAGCGGCGAAGCGGGCGAGATATATCGGCCTAAGCCGGTGGGGGGCGCCTAATTGAAAATAGGTGCTTTAACCTAAATGCGTTGTACAACGGCACGTTTCACTCGATTTAAGTACTCGGTTTGGTGGCTGTGGCAGATTTAGGGCGCGAGCGGAGTAACCGCGATTAGAATCCGCTAACGCGGCCGCAAACAAACACTGCGAACGGACGCACCGGGCGCTGCAAGCGAGTGAACGAGCGAGCGTGCGGGGGAGCCGAGAGAGCGGCGAGAGTGAAACATCTGCGATCGGATTAGCGGTGGACATTGGCAACACTTCCGGGTGATTAGGCTGATTCCACATCGATCCTAAGTCCGCGCTTACAACCGCATATATCGCTGTACGGAGGGAGCGCGGAGCCCGCCGCGAACAATTCGCAGCTAGGGACGTGACTCGCCCGGTGTACTCGCTTTCTCTCTCTCTCTCTCTCTCTCCCTCGCACGGTCGCGCCTCCGAAAATCCACCTGGCACGTACAACATTTCACAAATATTTATTCGCGATGCTCGCACCCTCGCCGGAATTTCCTCCTCAGACACGCGTTAAAGACGATGGAGCTACGTGCTGTTGATTCTCCGCCGCGGAATTCCGTTCCTTCGCGCGTTCGTTCGCCCAGCGCGCGCGTTTGCACAGCTGGTAATGAACTCTACGTTTCCTGACTGCCGGGCTATTGTTATAAGTATAATGAAACGATAGGAATCTCAATACCTTTCGTGAACTTATTTAAACCGTGCGGCGTGCGTTCCCCGTTTTCTTTTTTCCCACTTCCGCGAAAGGAACACCGCCACCCCTCTTCTCTGTATAAGTCTCGCGAATTATAATGCGTTCATAAGCAAAGTTTTTCTAATTATCCTTATTATTATTATTATTATTATTGTGTTATTATTATTAGTATCGTTATTATTATTATTATTATTACCTCACCCGTTATTTCTACCTTTAATAAGCAATTTTCTCCCTTTCTTTCGGCTTTTTGTAAGTACAGAGTCTAGTTTTCTTAGGTCTAGATTAAGTTCTAACAGTAAATATGCAAACTCAATGTAAAGTCCACTTCTGTTGTTGGCTCTCACTCTACGACGTTACTGCGAACGTAGAGCTTTTAGCACAAAGCATGAGTTTTCTTTTCTACCCTCTTCTTTCCCTCTCATTCTTCGCGCAACTTTCAATATATCTTATTAGCACTATATCACATTACTGTATATTCCAAGAGGTCTTAACCGCCGAATTAAATAAATCTCATCTCTCTCTCTCTCTCTCTCTCTCCTCGTAACTGTCCGCTCAGATATTTCACAGAACGAAGCCTCGAGCCTTTTACACAAATGGACGGAGCACCCAGCGGGGAAGCTAAACACGCGTTGCTTACGTCATTATACAAATTATGCGGCGAAGGCTGCCGTAATCGTCAAAGCGCGACGGGGAGCGATTTCACGCGCTTTAACCTCCGCCGCGCCCGTCATGTAATTGCGAATGAATCCGCCGTGCTTGACAAGGACAATGGAGACGGGGGAAGCGTATGAGAGCGCGCAATTCCCCGGAACTCGCGGGAAAAATAGCGACTGTGCGGCAGCGTCGGGATCGTAGGTGAGAAAGGACGCAGAGCGGAAGGGACGGGCGGCAGTTTCCCGCGCGGCCCGCTCTGTCGCAGTGTCGTATATTCCGCCGGTGCGGTTGTACACGCGACGCCACTTTAACCCGGAGTCGTCCGGACACCCGCGCCACCCCGCCTGACCCTCTCTCTCTCACTCTCCCTGTCGCTCGAGTAAACTATAGACACGGACCTACGGACCAGTGTATTTCGGTACGGAGGCAGTAGACCTCGGTGGACCTGGTGTTTCCCTCCTCGCATTCCCATTCTTCGTCCTCCTTCCGCTTTGCCGGTCGTCGTCGGTAGAGCGGCAAAGCGGAGAAGAGACGGAACGACTGCGAAGAGAAGGAGGCCGGGGGGAGCCCTCGCGCGCTCTCGCGTCTTCTTCTTGTTTCGGGCTTCCTTGGCCAAGAAGAGAGAGAGAGAGAGAGAGGGGGGGGGCGGGGGAGAGAACGGATGATAGCGATTCCCGTGCCAAGAGCTACTCGTTCGGGCCAAGCACAACTTGGCCGAGGCACAATCGAGTGAAAGTCGCGTCGCGTCTTTCGCCGGGGGTGGCTCCTAGGCGCCGCGCGCGCGCGCTGAGCGCAGCCGAGTGAGCAGAGCAGGGGGGTGGAGGTGGAAAAAAACACTTAACTCGGGAGCGGGATAGAAAATAAGGACAAATTGACTGTCCCCGGATGGATGGGACGAAGAATTCACTCCGGTGCGGATTGCGCGGCCCGACGACGGGGAAAAGCCGTGAAGAGAGCGCGGTGACTGAGTGCTGATCTTAGATTGCAGACGGAATGAGACTTACGAGGAGCAGACGGTCGCTACTCGAGGCTGGATTACGAGATAAATGCCTGCGCGGTAGGTAAGTCGCGAACGAGTGATAACCGATAAGGGGCACGATTAACGGCGGCGTGGCGCCGGCGATCGGGGGAAACGATTGAATCGATCATTCCGCGAGAGATGTATTACGTGGCGACGCGACAACGCCTTGAACGATCTCGATCAGTCATGAACGACGAGCCACGATCGCCCAAGAAGAGACCGAGGGAGAGAGAGACAAATAGATAAGTAGATAGTACTTTGTATTCGCGAGCACTCGTCAAGTGTACACCGGTAGAAAATTATAGTTGATTTCGGCGCCGAACATATTTGATATTGTTTCATTGTAGCAACGTATGTATGTATGTTACTATCGCTGACACTATAGTAACACTTACTGTAGAAAATAATGGTTCTACTTTTGTGGTCGAAGGGTGTTGTTTAGTCGAAACTAACTATAATTTTCTATCAATGCACTCGATTTTCCGCGGAACGACGTGAAACTTCGAAAATAGGATACACGCATCGGACGAAAAAGTTCAATTGCGCGTGTTTACGCGCGATTGTCCCGCCGATTGGTGTCTTGTAGCGTGTGTCATGACATTGCCACGCAACAGATGTCAAAGGTCGCGATTGCCGGCAATAATCGGCGCGATGAAATCGCTGCGGGATCAACGGCCAGTCAAACGTGCTTAACAATCATTTACTTTAACTGATCGATCAAACTGATTTCCAACTTCGTTAACGCACTATAATGGATAGATTGCGAGCACGGTTCGACGTAATACATACATATATATGTATATACGTGTGTGTATATGTGCAATGTGTGTAATTAGACATAGTTTTAAATCGACGTCCATCGGGCGTAACGAGCGCGACCGGCGCCATAGCAGCGTCCTTTCGTTCTGGTTCCAGAACTGTTCAATTTCCGCGGGTTGATTGAAATGAAATAATCATTATTGTTCGTGCCATGATCATCTACGATACGTGGTTCTATCGCGCCGCAACGGCCTGGTATTTATAATGACCATTGTTTCGAAACGCACGAATTTCCATAACTGGTAATTCGATTGTCGCGGTGTAACCGCGTTCACAATTTACGCGAGAATAACATTTCCCGCTCGTCGAGCTCTGTGACTAACATTTCCTCCCCCTCTCCTCTTCCCTCTCCTCTATCAATGTTTTAGAAATTTTTTCAGAGCTCAGCCGCCATACCGTGGAACTCACTTCCTCCACAAATAAAAAATCGACTTCTCTAATAAGCTTTGAACAAAAATTGCATCGTTATATGCGCCAAAATTCAAGTGTTCGCACCCATGCTTAAGCTGAGAAACTCTTCTTTCAGTCTCTAAACGTTATAAACACGACATGATTTCGCAACAAACGCTTTTATCTCTCTTTCTCTTTCTGCGGTACTTTGTTGCTCTTCATTTACCTTAATTGTAAACGATTTTGCAATTACAGCTGTGACTTAGCTTCAAGTATTCTTTATATATCTTCAGCCACTTGCTAATACTGCAAAAACTATTGTAAATCTAAGAGATAATTTATATCCCAAAGAGTTATAATAAACTCTATTCTACTCTATTTTCTTTTCTATCCCCCCTCTCTCTTTCTCTCTGATGAGGGGAGGAGAGCGAGGAGAGAAAAATGGGCGCGAAAGGCAGACGGACGAACGGTGCGGTTTTGTTTCTCCCGAATGCGGTCGTAGCCGGCGTGACAACAAGACGCATCTTTCCACCCCCTCTTGATAATCGGGTATCGCGCCGCGATAACAATCGGCGTTGCGGCCGATCCGTAACTTAATTGCATCGTCGATAACGCGCACGGCCGCCCCCGCATTTTACTGCTCGCTTTCCGGGAAGGTCGGACGAAAGAAGGGTAGCTGCGAATCGCCGGCGCGTAATGAAGGAATTTATGACGCGAATTGCTCGATGAAAATATACGAGCCCATCGGCCCCTTGGGCGANCCCACCCTGAGCGCTCACCCCCCCCCCCCTGCCTTATCGTCGAGATCGTCCTTTTTCTTCCTTCGCCGTGCCTCAATCGACATAAATTCTAATTACGCCTTGGCGCAATGCGTTTTCACGAAATCCCTTGGATTCCATTTGTTGCGCGAGTTGTTGCACGCTCGCGCAATATGTTGCTCTCGAACTAATTCGTGGCGCTCCAGCCTCGTCGTCGTCGTCGCAACCGGGCGTTGTTCTCCACGGCCGATTTATTAACGGTCGACGCACGTGTTCGGACGGGACAGGAGTTTCGTTTCCGAGAATGTTATTTCGCGAACGGCGACGACCGATGCGGCCCGTCCGCGCCCACTCCCACGCGACTTCGTCACTTTGACGGAATTAAGCGCCGCGCGTTTACGGCTGTGTCGCGATGACGGGGCTCATCGGAGAGGATCCAGTGACGTCAGCACGGCGAACGATCGGCCCGGCTCTGATCAGGTTAATCTCTCGAGCATCGGTTCACCCCGAGTGAGAACCTGATCTGTGAGTGGCTGATTGCTTCCAGGGGGAGGACGCGCCTTTCGGCAGGCGACACGTGCTTTCTCGATTGCTTTCACGGCAACGTATAATTCTACGCTCGAACGAGCGCCGGAGTAAATCGTTGGAAAGGACAGACCGGCCAGTACGCTAGGCGGAATACTTTACTCGGGGATAATTGGGACACGTCGAGCGATACGACGCTAATTGACATTTCGCTTGGATTTTTCGATCGCTTCCCATCGGGCTGCTCAATGTTTTACGCGTGTTTTCGGACCATTTTTTCGTTCTTATTCCTGGAAATAACAATGCGCGTTTTTCATCATGCGGCGGTCGCTCTCCGGTACGATTTAAGGTCGTTGGAGTGCCAGATTTTCCTATAACTTTATTTAACTATTTGAGGAATAAATGTCAATTTTAAGCGAAATTAAGACAAACATATTGCAAACACGGGGATATTATTTGAAAAGTAGGACGTAAACCGCTAGGAATGCGTGTGAAAAGTGTCATCTTTGTTCGCGAATATCAAGCTTCCGAATGATCGATCTTCTACCTTTACAGACGTACGATAATATTTCCATCAATATGCAGCGAAAATTGAAAAGGATTCTTAAGAAAACGGTCGGAAACGGACCAATTACCTCAAGCAAATTTTTCTTACATTTGCACAATTTTACACCACCATCCCTGCTGCGGTTGGAGGAAAAGGCATAAAATCCGCGCGATTCTTTTGCCGCGCCACTAGTTACGGATCACGAGTAAGGATCGCGGTCTTCATTACGCGTCTTGTTCTTTGTTGCAGACCGGGAACAGTTACAAATCGCCGGAGGAATCGCCGCACACGGAGCACAGCAGACTGAGGTAAGTGAAAACGAGACGCGCGTCATCGCGCAACAAAGCTGGAGAAGCAACAAATGCAGCGGACGCGCGCGCGGTTATTACGAGGAAAACAGGCACTCGGGATGAAAATAGCGAAACCGTTCCCGCGACGATAAACCACCCGGACGTGATGATCCTAATGTTTTTCGGCGGGAGACAAATGCCCGGGGGGAGGGGGGGAGGGAAGGGAGGAGAGAAAGATCAATCGCGAGTCACAATTTGCCGGGACTCGACGCCGTCGGAACGCCCGGCGTTAAATCGGCAACGCGCGGAAATTGATGATTAACCCATAATTATCGCGTACCGCAGCTAGAGTTAATGAATCGTGGATAATTGTGATGAATTTCCCGGCGTTACATGTGCATCCTCCTGGCCGGGCCGATGATGAACCGCGGCCCTCGTGCCCAGGTGACACAAGTATAGCGCGCGCCGCTAAGATTGACGTAAGTCGAGCAACGCGTCAGTGGACCGCGCCAGGCGTGTCCCGAAAGCGAAAGATAAATTTCCGACTGCGGCCGTGCGCGCACACGACGGCGCAGCACGTCGAATGCGATTCGTGACGCGTATCATCCGTAAGTTGCACGTCGAGTCGACACTAAAATTACTAGGTGGAATTCCTGCGATACTTGAGACGCTGCCAGGTCGGCGTCGTCTAATCTGCCCTCGCAGAAACAAAAAACCGCGGGAGCGAGCTTTTGGGGGGGGGGGGGGGGCTAGTGATGGGACTGAGACCGGTTTTGGTACTATCGATATATTTACCTCTGAAATTGGACATGTTTCGTATCGATTCGTTCTAAGATATATTCGCGAACAATTTGAAATGTATCGAAACATGCGGCCGCCGTATCGATACACATCAATTATATTAAATTTAATACCCGTTTAATTATAATTCACGATTTATATGTCAGAAGTAAAATTAATACCAAAATAATTATAGTTGAAATAATATGGTTAATAACCAATAATTATGGTTATAACGTGGTTACAGATGGTAAAATACGATTAATATGGATGAAATCACATTTATTGTGTAAAATGGGGAGGAGACAGGCGCACGCTTTTAAAAAAAATTCAGAAATTACGTGTACTTTTAAGTTTAATTAAATTGCTCGTGCACTTGTCACATTTTATTCGTTTAGCAAGTGTTGTGCACGCAGCACTTCCTCTCTCGCAATCCGGTTGCTTCCGGATCTTGTCGACATTTATATGTTAATTTTTATCGTAATGTTTTCATCGAGGTTAGTTCAGTAAAAATTAAATGATAAAAATGTTATTCTACTGAAAATATAAAGAGAAACGCGATGGAAACACGAACCGGCTGTAATGACCGCAGGATGCGCGATCAGGGTCAACGAGTCAGTCATTCGATCGGTCCCATCACTAGCTGGTGCGGAAGAGGGCCTGCGACGCGCGCGGATCGCGAGTTCTACTAACGCGCCCGCGAATCCGCAGTCGCCGTCGTTAATTTGGGATGGCGATTACGGTGAAGGAGGGAGGGGAGCGGATGCGATCGTTCTTCCAAACGACGTTGTTAAACGCCGGAACGGCCGCGAAACTTATACGATTAAACGATCCATCATTTGTTTTAACAACGCTTAAACGGCGGACGATCGCTGGAGTAGCGCTCTCGCGGATCTCGTAATCGCGTAAAATTTCACTGTCGGCGAACACGACGGTCAAGACGTACGCGCGGACGTCGCTCCTGTTGAATAATTCAGGAAATAATCACACAACCGGATCGCGATCTTGATTTGTGAAAATGGCAAATGGCGCGGCAGCGCATCGATTTCCGAAAGGGGGCGGTTGGAGATGCGCGCGCGGTGTTGCCGAAATTGAAATTTAAACGGAGGTGCCCCGAAACGCGCGGCCGTAAAAACGACGGGGGATGGAAAAAATATCGCTTTCGCGTTGCCGCCGGAGGTGGAAGGATTTTGCCGGACTAAGGAAATCTCATCCGCTATACGTTCCATATCGCTACCTCGTGATGGCCGGTATATTCGCGTCTCGTAACCGTGATATTCATTCCTTCGGCTGTTCTAAAAATGCGATATCCGGCCCGTCATTCTCTACGAACGCCGCCGTCGCATCGGCGCGCCCAATCTCGCTCGCATTCGAGTCGAAATTCATCGAATTCGTCGATTCCGAAATGCATTCTGTCACGATAAACGCGCTCACGCGGGTGTAATGCGTTTCGTTATATCGCCGATTTTTTTTTTCCGTCCAGTGGTACAAAAAAGTACAGCGCAATTTAAACCGATCTCGTCGAAATTCGCAGCCACCGGGGATATTTTTTACGCGCGAAAATAATTATAACACACACACACACACACACATTGAAAAATCAGCTTGGTTGGATTAATGTGAAAATGGACCACCGAACGCGTTTTCGTCGAAGGAAATAGAATTTCGTTCTTATGACCAGAAATTTGGTTTCCTTCAACCGAAATATGATGGTTGTCTACTTTCTCTGATTGATCCGGCCAAACTAGTTTCCCAGTGCGCAGGCGGACGCGGTTAGATGATTTTTCAGAGACGTCGCACGCGACGGCGCGCGTGCCGGTAAATTGCTGAGAGGTAGCAAATTTTCCCAAAGAATCCCGCGCCGTAAAATCCACCGCAATCGCGGTCGATTTGTTTCGCACGTGCGAAGGGAGCGCGCGCGCCGCGATCGTCGAATATTCATGCATTCGACGTGCATTCCTTCTCCCCGTGCATTTTCTTTTTTTTTTTCACCGTGAACCGTTGTGGAAAAAAGTCGATCGAACGAGCTATCAGCCGAAGCTAGATCCGGAATCAATTGATGGTCCATCGTACGCGCGGCCTTTTTTCTCCTCCATTCCGGATCGCCGTATTATGCGCGGCGGCGTAACGATTGATCCAGTCTAGGATCGGGACATTAAATCCGCCTCGTTTCGGCCGAAATGCGCATCCATCTTGCGTTACGGCCGACGGCGCTATTTCCCGCTCGATTGCGATACTTTTAATAGGGAATCGGAGGGTTTCGTGTCGGCGCTAATGTAACTTCGACGGAAGCCCGAGCAGACGGGAACGATTATCTTTCATTACACCTGCGATTCCCAGGTACAATGTGTTCCAATTAATCGGCCCGGTCGAGCCCGATGCTAATGGCAAGGTGGGAACGAGCGCGCGTATATCAATGACGAATGCATCGTGTTTCTTACGGGTTAGCAGTTCCCGCGAATTGATATTGTTGTGGAATTAATAATTGGCAACAGGCGCAGAGGGCAACCGCGCGCGAGTACGTGGGAAAAGAGGGGAGAACTCGTTTGAGTGGCGATCAAGAGAGAGAGGGAGAAAGATAAATAAATATCTGGCGTGATATCTTCCTTTCGCTTCTGGATTCTGAGACGATTAAAATTTAAATACCGCGAACAGTCGAGAACGCGAGGCGGGGGGAGTCGTATTAACCGGTACGCAGGAGTAAATGATGAGGGGGATATCGGTGAAATCCTGAATAACGAGTGACTGCAGATTAAGGGCAATCTCCCTCGCGGAATACGTGATTTATAATTTCGAATTCGACCGACATTTGACGGAACGATGCGGCTTTTATGGCTCATCGACGGCGTCGTTAACGGCGCGCGGCCGTAAGAGCCCGAGAATCAATATTGTCCAAGTTCGTCGTGTTGAGGAAGACAGTAAAACTTTACGTTCGAATTCGAGGAGGTGGGAAAGAGCGTCGTGCGCGCGCCCGGTAAAACATCGTCGCCGGTGAAGAGTCCGTGGTGGCCGGCGATCGTCTATTATGTCGTCGGCCGGGGTGATAAATGAACGAATGAAAGAATGTTACACGACTCCGCAATTCTTTCGCTCCGCCGGGCTTTTTTCGCCCGGGAACTTCCCGTCGGACCGCCGGGTTTTTTTCTCTCGCGGAGCACGCCGTACGCGTGCTCCTTTATTTCCATACGTAAACTCGTTGCGACCAGATTAATCGGCCGAGTGCACGTGTATTCTTCCCCCGGATATCGCGCGGCATTCAAACATCCCGCGATGTTTGAGCAAGAGAGAGAGAGAGAGAGCTATTGTAACGTCTCACCGTTACGCAAATAACCGCCACGTGGAAGACAATTCTCGGACAGTTTTTTTGCCTTCCTTCCTCCCGCGGAGAAGAAAACACGGTGACGGACGCGAGGCGACAGCAACTACGTATCTCAAGATCAACACGTCAAGTTATAACGAGGAAAATTATTTTTAACGAAAACTGAATCGGTAATGTAACAACAAAGACGGCGAAACGGACGGCAAAGGAAATGAAAGAAATCCCGGATACCTGCATGGAAAAAAATTAGGATGAATTCAAGACTCGTACTTTCACAACGATTAACTGATACAATTCTCAGTTCGAAGATGTCATGCTTTCTATCCAATATTTTTCTCTTCTCAATTCACGAAAATTATTCTTCAATAACAAGAATATGATATTTTCAATGGGACTATATAGGATTTCTTTATGTAAGCAGGCTTTATCTTCATACAAGATAAATATATTGCTTATATTTGAGAATACGAGACTTGAATATCGATACTAATTGTTTTCGCGTACACGGCGGGAAATAATTCGGAGAGGCAGCGAATTTCACGCTATCGTAGCAAATAAATAAATCTACAGGATGTCTCTTAAGTACATATTATCGCAATATTTGAATCGTTCAAGTTTATTTTATAAAGAATATTTTATAAAGAAATGTGAACATACATTTACATAATGTAATGTTACATAACGTACGTTCGTGTTAAACTTTTATTCACAAAACAATCTCGGCAATCACCTTGTAAAACACCGGACAATACTCGCGAAACATCCTGTATATTAATTAATGCGCGCCACGCCGGCATTAAAATTTAAATTATTTTTCTTCGTGTGTGCGTATACACTCGGACGCAAGACTGAAGGATTTTTCGCGTCCAGTGTTAGGCGGCAACAATGGTCCCGGCGGCAATTAGCATTCGAGTGCTTT